GTAGTTCTCTGGGATTGGTCTTTTCTTTACTGGGTGCGCTTTGTGAACACTACGGTCTTCAACTCAAACTTCACACAAATACGTCAGGATCAGTTTCTCTTCATTCGAAGAGATTTTGTTCCCATCGAGAACGACTATCCGGCACTCAATTACGGAATTGACTACAAATCTTCTTAGGATTATCACGAGCTGTCGGATAACGCTGTTTTGCAGTTCCTCCCACCTGCGTGGCTAGATGCTTTTCAGTTAGTGTCTATATGTTCCTCCACTAATAACTTTTGACGTGCTTGTGAAATCAAAGATCTTGTTTAGAGAAACGCTTTCTCTATCCATGTCATTGTGATCTTTCTGCGCCATGGCTCTATGTCGCAGGTAATACTTACGCGATTTCCCAAAATTGAGCAGAAATTGTGCTATTTCGCTTTGCATTTCGATGCTCTTAACTTCGAAGTAAGGTCATTGCAGCCAACAATGTTGGAAGACGTGCTCTACGAAATTTTGCCTGTAGTCGGCTTTGCTTTGTCCGCCTCCAGCATTCTCGTCTTGATCGTCATGAGGAAAGCTGCCGGCGCTTTTCGGTTCACGGTCTGGTTCGCCGCCATTGGTTAGTTCTTCAGAAATTTGGTACAATATGATGTCAGGCTCTGGTCCATTGTAGGTCCTCAATCAAGTGATTTTAGTACTGGGATCTCCACGTTGCCCGTTGCCGTTGAAAGGGAAAGGGCAGGGAGCTCCGGGATTAGTTCAGGAATTTTCTACAGAGCGCAAGAACTTTTTTTGCGCAAAACCAAATGCCATCATCGAAGCTCCTAATCCCTAGCCATGGAAGAAAATCCTTTTGTATCTTCTCAAATGCCATTCACCATGGATTAAAGTCGAGGAGGTGGTGTAAAAAAAGATGTACATATGTCACGAGAAAAGGTGTACATATGTCAAGTAGAGGCTTTCCGTAACGCGGACATTTACTCAACAAATCCAACACATAAAGTTGATGAACTAAACGGCACCAGGTACTGCTGCAAGCCCCGCCCAACAGCCCGCCCACTTCTCAGCGGTCATGCTTTTCAGAATGTTAAATATATTTTGCTCTTTTAACACTTTAACACCTTTCTATTTCGTACACACACTCACTCCGCACGCACAGGACTAAAACCGACACAAATATGTAGCACTCGCTCACTTTTCAATGAGGTCACTACAAATTTTGGATTCCTATAACTTTTTTCGGTCCGTTCCTTCCACACAAAATCACGAAAAGGACGTACTCGTAGATAAGCATTTATACACTAGCACATCAAGCCCTCTGACCACGCCCACCTTTGCGTCTTTCTGTGAAATTTTGACTAATCCTTTTAGGATTTTCGCTTCACTAGGCTGTAGCATGTAGCACCACCCACTTTTAGGAACCCCGCTCACTTTCGAAAAATGATCCAGATCAGCAGCCTCGAGTCTTAGATGGCACGGTATGCGCTAGCTGGTCACTCAGAGCGAAATTCCCCGGTTTTCTTGTTTAGAGTTGCAGAAAGGTCACAACCTACCAGGCCAAACTCTATGCTGTCGACCTGGATCATTTTTAAAAAGTGTGCAGAGTCTCTGTGGATAGGCGAGGCCACCTGTTACGGCCTGAAAACGAGAAAGTTTTGCAGAAAAATTAAAAGTTCTGCAAAAAGACGCAAAATTGGGCGTGGTCAGAGGAGTTGGGCTCAGCGTGCCAGTGTACAGATACGTATATATGATCACATTCGTTTTGTGAAAGTGAATGTGAACGAAGTTGAAAAGTCATAAAATGGGCAAAATCGCATCTGTCTCGGTATATCAATCCTTTTCAGTTGAAATGTATCTGGGGAAACAGGAAAAAGTGCAATAAAATAAGGGAGCAGTATTGTGAAGCATTTTGGAAAACCATGACCGCGATGAGAAGTGGGCGGGCAGTTGGGGCGGAGGTCGCAGCAGTACCTAGTGGGGTCTAGTTCATCAACTGCCCAGTGTGAGGGGTGTGTCTGATTTGATCTGAAAACTGGGGTATGTGACAAGAGAATCGTAATTCGTCGCGCTGATTGGCGTCGCGTGCGACATCGCGCCCACAAATGACGTTTCCATGTCGCAGATGGCGACAAGAGGCATTATAGAACCGAAGGTGGTCGTAAATGTTTATAGTTCCTCAGTCCACGTGAAATCCGGTGCTCCAATGGACAGGCCAACACGAGTTAAGAAAATCGCCGCGCGCGGCGGAGCGGCAAATTACGATTCTCTTGCCCGTCTCCCCCGTACAACCCACTACAAGGTGGCACGGTCAGGCTTAGCGCCAACTCATCATATTTCAGACCTCAGCGCTGGTCTAGCTACCATCTATGCAGGATTCTATGGAGTTGCGTTGACAGTTTTCGGAAAAACTGGAGAGGTGAGTTTGAAGTAGTAAGACTCCTAGCACTTGTCTAAGTGGACCTGCTAGCAAGCAACCACTGGTTGATAATGTAGTCACTATCAGATAGCTAACCAAAGTTTCTGAAGGTACGGACGCCGTTCAAATGCCTTTTTGGCGGAGCTCTTCATGTACCTGTATGGCTATTTCTTGACATCTTTCACATGGCAACTCTTTCACTATTCTGTTTTGATCGCCTTGTCTTCATGTTGGTGCCAGTTATCTACGCAAAGGTGAGTCTTCACAGGGCACTGTTCGGCCTAGAGTGGGGATGAGGGAAGGGGTCGACAGGATTTTGTACGTTACTATTGCTGGTTCCTATAAAGTACGCGTCTCTCCGTGTACATACCTACTGTCAAGTGTGAGCAGAACTCATCCTCTTGCAAAGCTTCACAGGAACTCACAGGTATCCACGGGTGGCATCTTCAGCGATCGAAGGAAAACAGCTAAATGCCCCACCAAGCCGAACTGCGTCTATTCATAGCCAAAACTTAGCCCGGGTAGAATCCTCACAAGTTATTGTGTTATCTGATAATCAAACATTTTACTTTCATAGTGACTACAATGAATGTTCCGAATCGAGTTGACTAAGAATTAGCTCTTTTCTCGCTCAACGCTCTCATGCTTCAGGTTTCTCGCGTTTATCTGAACTCGCCGTTCATACTCATTCTCGGCTTATTCAGCTGTGCTGTCACCGCACCAGCACTTTCATTGTCTCTTGAGGTAACAGTCAAACATTGAAAAAAAGAAATTAGCACAGAAACACAATTAAATTTCAGTCCTATAAAAATGCCACCATTCTGGTACCTGCTCTCTGCCGCTTGGATTCCGTCACTGGACAAGAATACTACGGCAATCATTTGATGGCATTGCAGTGGATGCCAATAAGCGGTTTGTTCAGAAATCTGTCCGCCTTCAAATAACAAACCATTCCTTCTGAGACAGGACAAATCATGACCGTACAGTTCACTTAGGGGCTATATTTGAACCGATTAAGTTTTTGGACAGTTAACTTTAACTTTAACTCGCTTTGTATATCTCTTTCATGGCTTGAGGCTTTTTGATGAGTGGACTGTGAGGTACTGAGGAGGAACACATTTGAGAGGAAATGGAAGGGGAGGGGGTCGAAAGTTTACGAACATAGGAAGCACAGGAGATATGGGGAGTTTCACACGTCCTCATGTGCACTGCTCTGGGAGTGTGACCGTACAATACGGTTCTCTCAGAAATAACCTGGTAACAATGAGGTTATGCTCATGATATGAGACAGTCGATAATGACATGTTGGTTGGAAACTAGCGCTGCTGGCGATCAGGTTATGCCGAAGCCGAGAGATTTCCAAGGAGGCAGTATTCGAGTCCTTGGGGTAAGGTCATATTTGGTTACCAATTTCGTCGACCACTTCCCCTGCGTTTGCGCGCTTTGCCAGATCTTTGTCGGGGTCACCACAAAATTGTAAGCTCATCTGTCCTCGCAAATAGAGCCTTGTCCCACTTACATTTCACTAACAAAACTTGGACCGCACGGCCGACAAAAGAGTTAATCGGTCTAGCAGCTTGTTTTCTTATCAACTGACATCGGCCTTAGGCTTTGTTCCACGTTTTTGGACTTGACTGCGATGCCAGGATATCTTTCCAAACATCAAATTGTTACGCTGATGAATGGAAGTTTTAAGGTCGCGTTCATACTTCGTCACTCGAGCGACTTGGTAGAGTGACCCACCAGTGATCGCTGCACCGCTGCGAAGCTCGAATCTGGAAGAACACTCAGTTTAATCCTGGCCGATGCGATTATGCGACTTGTTACACGCAGAATAAATCCACATGAATACTTAATGGGGGGGGGCCAGCAGCCCTCCATCAGTGCATCAAATCTACCCCTTCGCTTTCTTCACATAAGTAGCACATTACCAAACACGGTACAGCATCTTTGGGAGAATACCATCAAGGAGTCGTCATTGCAGTGGGAGGGCATTTCGGGTTTGGCAGAGGTGTCGAATCTGATCTTGACAGAGATTTTTCCGACCCGCGAGAGCAATTATTTTTCGATTGCCAATTTTCCTCATTATGTCGGCACCGTCAAACTCTACACGCTTCTCATTTTTTGAAAAAACTGTGTTAAAATGTAGAACGTTGGCGAAATATGGGCTTTAGAAAGCATGGCAGCGTGGATCGCGACAAGGAGGGTATACGCGTGAACGAAGATACTTCGGGAGGAGAATTTGTCTACACCGTTATCTCTCCATCATGATGCTGTACCCTAGTAATCAGTTAAAATGCTGTCTCTGATATCAGTTAAAAAGCGCGGGATAAGCCATCTCGTGGCAAAGAATATAGATCCATACGGATTAAAATTCTATTGAACGAGAATATCATTCAAAAGCGGAAGGCGGCGCAGTGAAGCGACCGTCGAGCACAAGTCCCAACTGGTTCCTAGTTTCCGAAAGCAGCAACGGCCGCCAGCCGGTGACAGTCTGTTCGTCGATGGAATGCCTTACTTATCACCGTTCGTCGTTGAAATGATGTCGCTTTCGCTATGCATATGGCCCGACAGCCGCATAATGCGATATGTTGGTTGGAAACTAGCTGCTGGCAATCAGGTTATGCCGAAGCCGAGAGATTTCCAAGGGGGCAGTATTCGAGTCCTTGGGATAAGGTCTATTTGCGTTACCCATTTCGTCGAGCTACTAAACCCCTGCATTGCGCAGCTTTGCCAGATCTTGTCGGGCTTCACCAAGCCTGTAACAGCACATTACATTAGTGACATGTGTCGCATTTTACCTGCAGCGTTACAAAGCGTGCAGGACCCCCTATCGATCACAGTTGGATCGGCCTAATTATTGATTTAACCACCCTCCCTTACATGAGTTTACCTATTCGCACGTATAGAAAACAGTGGTCAAGGGCTGTGTGCCGACGCCTACGCTACGACTGGTATGGACTGAGCGGGAACGTGATCCGTTGCCCAAATTTGCCTGACTATACTGCAATAAAATTATAGGTGAAACGAAATGACGGCGCGTAAATACCAAATAACATGGTCCGTTAAGGTATGGGATGCATTATAACGGCGCTGCTAGTGTACGGTATTCGCGGACTAAAAAAGAGATGGCGATACAATTGGTCAGAAGAGTCAGGGCACACAAAACAGGTGAGTCCTACTTACAATTCAAAAAGGTTGAATCGAGGTCTAATCCGTTGATTTTATTAAGCTCTTCATCACCTCGTTCTTACGATGTTTCCTGATGGGCGTCGCCGTGCACATACCAGTGTTGCTCGTTTATGATTCATCCGAGCGTGCACAATTGAGGGAGCTCAGAGATGTACTGATCAGGTTCGTGCCACTTAGAGTCAGCGGTTTCCTAGTCTGACTATAGTTTTATTCGCTGAGATGAAGACATGTGTCAGTGAGGCCGAGGCGAGCCGCCGGCCCGTTCTCTATCAGACTGGTATGAACGACGTGATACCGTCTTGTTGTATTCTGAAAGAAAAGTGAATCAGCTGGAGCCGGCTGAACCCATCCTCTTTGACACGCCCCATGATCCGCAGCAAACAAGATTGTCTGTGACATAACTTATACCATCTTTCTTGAGGTCAGAACTCAAAAAACCTCATGAATTTCCTTGCGGAGATCCCAACTTGACGCAATTGAGCGTCGTCAACCATGCACTGTTCAGATAATCAGAAGACAGTAGATTTTCTCCAAAATTGAGCTTCATCATCTGAGGCCCGCGCGCGTGAAAAAATAGACATGGTCCGGGCGAGAAGGATGGTTATACATATATGCATAGAATCTATGAATTATCCCCTTTTTCACTATTGCTCTACTCAAATCTCTTATACTTCCAATTCGATTATTGCCGAAGTGTGTGCTATGTATCAGTCGTTGCACATTCCCCCCTTCTAGAGGGGCAGCTTAATGCGCGGAAGCTTCTTCTCCTTCTCCTTAGCGTTAAGTCCCGCGCCGTTGCAGGATCCGCTGTGCTTGTTAGATGTCGCCACTTGTTCCGATCCCCTGCATCTCCGCCATGACTTTCACTTCAGTGAGGTCCTTCTTGATGACTGCTTTCTCTTTCCATCTTTTCTTTGGGCCCTCGAGGTCTGCCCTCTACTTCGTCTCGAACGCCTTCCTTATTGGATGTCTTCAACCTCATCAGTACTGCCCATACCCAATCGCTGCTCTCGTGCCTTCAGCTGGATCGGAGCCGTCTGTGTGACCGCCCTGACGTCCTCGTTTCTGACTCTGTCGAGTCGTGTCCAACCGCAGGCCCATCTCAGCATCCTCATTCAGCTAAGTGAGCCTGCCTTTATGTTCTTGTAGGTCACGAGTCCCACTTTTCCATCCCCAGCACTCACTGCCCGTTAGAGCCGTTGTTTTGGCCTAACCGCCGCCGCACGGTAAATCTTGCCCTTGAGCGTTCTTGAGCCACCTTCGGTCGCGCAAGATCCTTTTAGACCCCTCCAGCCTCATCAGGTGCGTCGGATTAGGGCCTTCACGCCTGTCCACGATGCCATCAGTCCTGCTAGGTCGCTCCCCAGGTTCTGGAATTCCTTGAATCTTTCTATGCTCTCGTCATGGCAGTCTACGATGGGTTCGGTACACTCTTTGGAGCTCATGATCTTTGTCTTTCACGTACAGGCCGGAGTCATTCTCAGCCAGACATCTTCCGCCGCTTGCACCTGTGTGCTATAGAGTTCCGTTCCCTGCTGTCGCTATCAGGGCGATGTCGACAGCCTAGAGGGTGGTTTTCAGTGGTCCCTCCATGAGTTCATTTGCCATATATCTAGAGTCAGGAGGAAGAGGAGCGGGCTGAGGTCTGATCCTTGCTGTATCCTAATCGTAACGTTACCTCTTTTGTCAAGCCGTGAGAGGTGCGTACAGCTCGTCAAGCCGTGAGAGGTGCGTACAGCTGCTTGAGCCTATCTGCACATATCCTTGCACCTATGAGACCATTGCCTCGTAACGGTTACGCTTCTAAGCCTCTCCAGATTACACAGTACAGCAGCGTTGAATAGCCTTCTCAAGGTCCAGGAAGGAAGGAAGGTAGCAGGTCACCGGCCGAACGGGTTAATGCGCGGAAGCTGTTAATCATTAAACCGCCTTCTACACTGATAACACAGACTTTTTGACTTGGTCCTAGCTAGGGATTAGTCTGCTGTCGAAGAGCAATAACACTACTCCCCTTGGACGCCTTTGCGCAAAGAACATCTCATCATGAGCATCACGGTGTGCGGTCTGTAAGCTGATAATCCGTAACAAACGTTGAATAATCTTGTGAGACGGATGGTAAGTGCCAATGTCATGATAGAACACTTATGCTTAAGACAGACCGCTATGCTATAGAAGCTAGTTAGCCTCAAGAGCATTAGGCTATGTAATGACTGAGTTCAAGTGGACGAAAAAGCGAAACAATAAATACTTTGAGTAAACACCCTGCTGATTTCAAGGGCCAGTATAAGGCGAAGACACAGTGCAAAAGAAACAGTCAAATGCTTCCGTTGATCACCTTCTCATAGGAAGGGCACGAATTCCACTTCAATGCAGGAACGTAGCGGCTCATTGAATGCGACATGCCATGGTTTATGCAATGAATTACGTGGCCAGTAGATGTACGAGTCTTCACCCTCGGACAAATCTGGTACCAATCAGCCGTTCCTACGGGATAAAATACGATAATTCCTCAAGAGGTGTAGGATCAATCATCAATTAATCATCACGCGCCTCTACAATAACTTCTACGCTCCTAAAAAAACAAATAATCCTCGTTTATCTCCGATTCGAAAGAACACTAATTAGTTTTCCTCACTACTCGTCTGTGTACTGATTCAGTCTCCTCTTGAACTGCTACAACTTTCTTGGCCTTCGGACCTCTTGCCACCTTTGAAGGCTAGGCGACAAGGTCGAAAAGTAGGCCGAATAAAGA